CAGGCGTTGCCGACGCGCTCTGCCTGCATCGTGACCGCCAATTCGTCACAACCGCGTATTGCATCTGCCATCGCCTTTCGCCAGACTACCGGACTCTGCGCTTCCTCCGAGAACCACGCCTCCCCATCCCCGCAACCGAGCCGCACGTGTAGGGGACCGCTTTTCACCTCCGCCGATTCCGTCCTGCCCTGCGTCTATCTTCTCCTCCTTTCGAGCGGCCGCGACAGCCATGTGCGCACCATCAAGGCATCCACCTCGTCTACCAAACTCCTCCTCTGCTCCAACCTATACACCGCCAATGTGACTGGCGAGCGCTGCAAACTCTATTCCGCCCTAGGACCCAGTCCATGATGCGATTCCCACCCTCCGCTGCCCTCGTTACCGATGGCGAGGTCCTGCCGCGCAGCATCTCACATAGTACACCGACGTGCTGCGCCGGCCCTGCGCCACTATTTCCGCCTGTCACCACGCCGCCTGTATCTTACCACTCTCCCGGATAATCTTCGCCCGCTGCGAACCGCAGTCGCCGACCTAATCGCTGTGCGATATACACACTTGTCCGGTGCTAGCAGAGAATGGTGGAAATGAAACTTTTGCCTCGCTGATCTCTCCGCGCTCCGTCCCCAGTCGCATCAGCTGTCAGGTCGAAAAAAATCTTTGCTGCAGAATACATATGCACGACGTTATGGGATTACACTAGCCCATCTGCCGGTGAGCGGCAACCGTTTGCCTGGTCCTTCGACGTGTTGGTGGCGTGGTTACAACCAACCGTTCGGATCCTCTCCCAGCTCCCAGCTCCCAGCAACAACAACGATGGATTGCTATATTCGGCCCATCTTGTTCGCTCTCGGAGGCAGCGACATTTTACATTATGCAAGGGCGCGCCTTTCGATCCTGCTCGATCCTGCTTGATCCTGCTTGATCCTGCTCCACGGATCCAATGAGCTTTATCCCTCTAAGACGATCAGCCAGCCAGCCAGTCAGCCTGCAGAGTGACTGGCCCCACGGACCGGATCCCTCGCAGGTCCCGAAGATGGTCCGCATTAGTTCCCACTGACTTGGTCTTCCCTCGAAGTCCGTCCGTTCGACTCAGTCAGCTCACATCCCCATCGCTTACACTGAGGAAACATTCCGCACCATGCCACCCTAGGCGACCACTGTCATGTAAGTTTCCAACTCCAGTTTATCCTTTCGTTCATTCGGACCCCCACTATGATGACAAACGCTGGGGCCATAAGAGTTCCTCTCCGCTTCCTCATCTCGCATGGGGGAGTGGATTGCAGGAACAGTGCTTTCAAAAACCAGCAATATTCTACCCAGAATCTTCTCAACTTTTCTGATATTCTACAACAAACCACGCGCCCTGAAATGGCGCTTACTCGCCGGGACGTATCCAAAGCTAACAATTGGTCAGGGTCGAACACTCCGGTGCTAAAGCTAGTGCTCTTGTAGCAACTTTAGCAAACTTACTAGCGGAAAGCTTGGTTCGTTTAGTTTCGACTCGGTTAAGCTGAGATCTTGAATCGAGGGTCTGGCATCGGAGAATAGGCAAGAACTGGGAAGGTGGCAGAGATTCGTGACACCACTTGCGTCGCATCTTTGACTCTACACGGCGGTACCGCGTTTGCGGGATCTGCATAGCCGTCGATCCAGGCCGTTCACCTCCGATGACGCGATTCATGAGCCCACGGCGTGGGCATGGGAATGTTCGCATTGCCGATGATCGTCGGTGAGGTAGGTCGTTACGCCAGTCGTCGCATTCGTATAGCAGCTCATCTAGGTAAGAGAGGTACGTACCTACGTATACACGGCCGTGAACGGGTGAGTCGTCAAGCCGCCTACGCATCTCCAACTCTAAGCGTACGAGTAAGTCCGTGGAGAAAATCAGGAAAAGTCCGTGGAGAAACTTGAGTAAGTCCGTAAGGACAATGCACTGACATCGTGGAGCAAAGCCTCAGTCATGCCACCGCCTTTGCTCACACAGCATCGACTCATGGAACGCCCATCCCAATACCTCACCACAGACAGCGGAACACCACCGTATCCGGAACACGAGCTCTACATCCACACCAAAGACCTTCGGGTACGGAAAGCGCGTCACCTGCCTCACGTATATTTGTTGTTCCTTCTCGCTACACTCATTACACTAATTCCCCCATCGTCCGTCGCACTACTACTCCAACTACTCCAAGATGCTAAAGCCACGCCTTCTCTTAGCCCCCGCCCTTGCGGCGGCCAGCCCTCAGGCGTTATTTGACATTGAGCTCGTCGTGATATTTTCCGCTTTGGTTCACTAGTAGGTGCGGTCGATCTTGGCTCCCGCTAGCTTGGGGGATCTAGTCACTGCACTCCGTGCTTTAGTTGGCGTTAATATCTCTTAGTTTGCATACCTGCGGCTCGCTTAGGGAGGGTAGTCTGAGTGCAGTTTGGGTGTGGACATGGGAAAGGAGATTTGGTTTGGGGCGCGAAGGCTGAAAGTTTGTTTGGGGGAGGACACGTGGAAAGGAATGGGCGTTTGGAGGTGGCTGCGTGTAGTATGGTGTGGTGTGGGATATGCCTGGGCAGATGTGTGATGTAAGGACTACTACTGCATCTGTTCTAGCATCAACCAACCCCAACGTCAAGGCATGTTGCCATGCTCTTCTTATAATCCAGAGCCTCAATAGTATGCATTGATTATAACGCGTAGCCCTGCCATGCTTCTTATAAATCCAGCAGTGAACTTAATGAACATCCACCCATCTCCCTCTCAACCCCATTCCTTTCTCTAGACATTATAATCTTACACACCTCCCCTCCCAATCACACCAGCCAACCATGTCAAACTCCTTCTTCTGTTCCCTCTCTTCTCCTTCTTCCCTCCCACCTTCCAAGAAGCAATAGTAGCTTCTCTACACAACGGCCCTCCGTCTTCTTCCCGCTCATCTTCCGACACTACGATGTCGCTATCGACAACGATTCCTATTTTCCCATCATGCGCGTTGTAGTTGCATGGAGCCAGCGGGGCTGGAGCCCAGCAGGGTGTCGAACATGTACACGCGAGATATGATGCCGGCGCGAACATGTGTGCGAAGAAGTCTTGAACTGCGTCGGAGAGGTGATTGCAAGTCATTTGGTGGTGTGGGTGTGGTGAGTGCGCGAGTTTACTGGAGGAAGAAGGTAGGTAAGGCGTTTGGTGCTGGTAGTGCTGCGCGAGCATGGTGTTGTATGCTGAGATGTCGAGAATGTTTGGGTAGAGTGACATGTGGTGGTGTGTAGAAGATGTAGTACACTCTTTGTGTTTGGTTGTGCTTGGTCGTGTTCGGTATAGTGATGTAGAGGTTTGGTGGTTAAGGTATTGGTGAAGATACAATGGTACCTAGGTAGTGTTGCGCTTGGTAGTAACAATTACAGCAGTATCGATGCAGTCAGATAGCTGTAGTATATACTCGAACTCACTCTGATCCAACACTACGTCAACATCTTCTGCCAGACATCCCATGACCGAACGAGACAGAACACCATGGTGTGACTTCCAGGCGATCCAGTATACCAACCTCGGGCAATTCCACCTGTGATGAGAAAACAACAACTCGAGGAAACAGGTGTCAAATGCGGCTGTCAACATGCGCACGTCGTTCCACACAACGACGCAGGGTCCTGATGGTGGAGAGACAAGTGGCGTGATGGTTCGCGGCGGAAGCAGCCGGTCTCGCCACCACAACCACGCGGCATGCGTTCCCCGCTGCGACCCGATCCCTGTGTATCGGTAATCCTCCATTTACAACTATAGTGCAATTGCAGTGACTCAGTAGAGACCAAGGACTCAGAATGGGAGAATGGGGTGATGTTGCGTTGATGCGTGTAGGGACTGAAATACGATGTCGCGTGTTGGGTGCATGCACATGAAGCCCGTTTTAGCATTTGGAGTCTCACCACCACGTTTGGTGTTATGGCGAGATGGGGAGGTGGTATGGATGGGAAAGAGTATTTAATGTACATGTGATGGTTCTGCTAAGGGCTTTGGATAGAACGACACAACGATAAGATCGATATCAACGTCGACATCTACAGCTGCTCATCTATCTTCTACATTACGAGAACGATAACGATAACGAGAACAACAAACATGACCACCAAACCAACCCTCTCCAATCCTCAGCTCACAGCAAACACTGCCGCAGACCTCGCTTTCGAGCGCGAGAAAGCTGCCATAACGTCTTATGAAGATGGTTGGGATCGGTGGGATGGGCCGATTTATCCTATTGGCTATGTGCAGTGTCGAATGCGTAAGTCATCTTCCAATTCTCTTGTTACTCATGCGAGATCGAGAAGATGACCGGATAGCTGACTATCTCCGCGCAGAGGAAGATGGATACGTTGCACCGAGCGGAATCAAGGAAGTGAAGGGGAAAGGCGTGGAAGTTACAGTGATGGAGGTCAGTGAGGAGTGAAGGCGCATAGATGATTTTGAGAGTCATGTTTTCTTGGGTGTTGCGGCGCTTGGGAGAGGAAGCTGTTACATGGGATGGCTTTGTTTGGATATGTATTTGATACATCGATTTAACCTCTGGTGCTTGAGCATAACAACATAATGTGCACACATTTCGCACCACAGTCTGGAAGCTTGCTGTACACACATTTCACGCTGAAGACTGCTGGATGGAAGAGTCAAGTCTAGATGCCGTGTATTCAAGTACAGCGAAGACTATCTCATGGCTCTAGCCGCGACAATGGCATTGCCTAAGCTCACTCAAGCGCCTTTACCTAGCGCATACCAGTTTACTTCCATGTCCAAAACGCCTGTCATTACAAAAGTGCGATACGCGACGCGTATCTAGTACGAGTTGGCCGTGATGAGAATAAGCTATCAGTGTGCGATTGCACAAAACTCATCTTGTAAAGTTGTGACCGCTGACGTGGAACGCTTTATGTTTTCATCCCAGACCCCACCAACGCCGAGTGGATGCTGTATTGATGCCAGCATCGCGTAAAGAAAAACAAAGGGAACCAAAAGATTCTCAGCTAGCCTGCTTGATCTTGAGATCCATGACATACTGCATCAAGCTGCAGTCGTCACACTTGACAAGCGACTGGAGAGCCTTGACCCTCGTCCGGAGTAGTTGGTTCTCATCTGCCAGGCTCTTCTTGTCCTTCTCCATTTGCTTGATGTAGGCAGTCGCCGAAGCTAGGATGACTGCTTTGCTAGGCTTCGAGGGTGTAGGTAGGTCCTCGATATCAGCGCCGTCGCATGCTCGTTGGCTTTGGAGGGAGGGCACGACACGCTTTAGGGAATCTAGTTGTGTGTTGAGCGATTCTCGGTACTTTCGTTCGACTTGGTTGTGCGGTAGTCGTCGGCGTGGCTTTGTCTTATCATCATCGTTGGCTTGGGGTGATTCTTTGGCGGAGGCGTCTTCTGTCGTCTCGCTCTTCATTCGTTGCCGGTCGTCTGATGGGGATGTGGTTGTGTCTTTGCTTTCTCTCTGTTGGGTTGAGAAGCCGTTTGCTGATGCGTCGCTTTCGGATCGCTTCTTGGGGCGTGGTTGGATCTCCACTATACCGTCTTCGGCAGTGACTTCTTGTGGGTCATTAAGTAGGTTGCTGATACTTGGGAGAGCGTCCTGGTCTGCGAACAAGAAGGGAGCACATCCTCCGCCGCACGTCGATGGATTAGGCGGTGAACCATTTACATCGTGATTGGGGCAAAGTGGGGATGTCCAGCAGGCAGAGAGTATGTCTGGCTTGTTCTTCGTACGTTTCGACGTAGTGTTCGCTGTTGTTGATGTTTGAGTTCTCTCAAGCCCTGGCTTGGTAGTGGTAGATGATCCTTTCGGGCCGTCGGGGAAGGTGAGGTCTTCGACGAAACCGGAATCTAGGTTGTTGGGAAACAAAGATTCATAGGCAGGGTTGGGAAAGGTGTTGGCACGTTGGAACGCTTGCCTCTGAGCTGGCGGCATGTTGGCTGACTGGTCTAAGCCGTTTACGTCTGATGGTGTCTGAGATGTAGAGTTGTTGCCAGCCCCAAGTACAGGCTCGGGTGACGACTCATTGGTTGATCTCCCTCCACCGATGTTGTTGCCAAAGGGCTTGAGGACGTCGAGATCGCCCAGGAAGTAGTCGTTAGGCAGGAATAGCGAGTCGTCAAAGTAAGGATCGCCTGATGTTCCTCCGAGAAGGGAATCGAAATTGGTGACGTCTTCAGGTGAAGAGCCTGACGTGTCGGTGGTGGTCGACTTGGGCATCTGGGAAGTGGGAGGGGCAGACGTTGGTGGTAAAAGATCGGACCATTGGTCGTTCGGTAGGTTGAAACCCTCAGTATTGAGGAATGCGTCCCAATTGAGAGCCATGGTGATAATAGTCCGCGGGTGGGTTGTCGCACGGAAGAGCTCACGCGTTGATCAGGAGATACAATCGCTAAGGTACCCTGGCCAAGCCACACGTGAGACTAGCGGGCGAGGTGCAGGATCAGGGTCGAGCTGGGGTCGAGGTTATAAACGCGGGCACTTCCTTTGTCTTTGTCAAGTTAAAGAGATGCTCGTCGGTACTCAACATGGGTCGATGGTGAAGATGTATCCACGCGTTTGAGAGAAGTTTCTCTAGTTTTTACACGGGAACAAGCGATGGCTTAAGGCGGGTGAGTAAGACCCAAGGAACAGCTTGGCAGTAGTTGCAGGTCAATCCAGGCGAAGTCCACACCGTTTCGTGGTACTCCTCGTACGGGGTTTGATCTACCGACTGGTCAAGGGGTATGAAGATGCAGTATCGAGAGTGGCAGGTGTAAAGGGCAGTCAAAATCCTAGAAAATGTCAGTCGCTCCAACGGGACTTTCGGTACAGCAATTGTGCGGAAGTTGTCCTGTGCCAGGTTCTGCGCTGTTCTAGATTACCAAGGTAGAGGTTGATCAGACCACCAAAGAGTGGCGTGACATTTCCCTGCGCCCCGCTCCATGCCCGGAACCATCCTAGCGATGGCACGCCGTGCGCCTCATTACGAGCTCCTAGCCACAGCAGTATCTTTTTCGCATTATTTTCGGAATGCCTTCGCTCTTGTGCCTGAAGATCATAACAGGGTGACATGGGATGAAAAGAGTGCAGGTGTGTTGAAGACGATGCCATGTTAGAGCGGGAGCCAACGACACTCCCGTTAGCGGCCTCGGCTGCCCCACTAATAGCAGCCGCATCTCAACATGCGCCTATGCTATCAAGACCAAGCCTGTATGCCCTCTCTGTTTGCAGGGGAAGTGAAAGCACGCAAATAGTCTTCGCGAGAGGTTCAAAACTTGTTTGGTGTATCTATTCGAATCGATATAGCGAGAACTATTTCGCCAAGACAAGGAAATGCCGGGCATCTAGAGGTCACCCGTAGACTAAGCTCTACTCCCCTATATCCTGGGACTTTAGTTATCCATGTCCCTAGATTATCACCATCGAATTATTTCCTCTCGTCGGTGTGGTGCTATCATTACGCTTGAGCGGAAGGCCATTGCTCTTCCTAAGACGCATAGTGTCTTGAGTTGAGTATGTTGACCCACTTCTTCATAGTCTCCGCCCGACCGCTCGACCGACCCTGGCATTTTCAAAATTAAAAAGGCAGGTACTGGAGAACCGTTCCTTAGCCGTACGCGGCTGTGGCGCGGATGCTCCCGTGTAGGCGAAGCAACTAGAAACCCGTTGTTGAACCCGTCTCCGCTGCGTCTAAGCCCTGGCTGTGCATCGCTCCGGGCTCTTCGATCTAAGGTCTGGTCCGCCTGTTCGCGGATGTGGTCGCTCTCGATTGCCCAAAGCAGCCTATGCCAAGATCTGGTAGTGATGTGCATCATCTTCAGAAGATTCGAGAGCCTCACGAAGCTTGAACTGTGTGTCTCATTGCCCATTGCAGCAGTTATACCATTAAGACTACCGGAATGGTTGGATCCATCCCTTCGCGGACTTTTCTTCTTGCTGCCCGAGACCCGGGTATTATCGGTCGATGGCACAAGGGACAGTACTCATTGTACCTTGTGAACCACTCGTCGAGGCAATGCGAGTGGAAAGCATGAGAGCAGCGGAGGCCCCGAACCTGCGCATCTTCGGCGAAATCGTCAAGACAGATGGCGCTGTTTTACAGTCAGTCCAGTCCACCCGTCGAATAGGACTTGTCTCGCATACTTACCACAGGGGATCGGATGCTTGCGATAAGTCGGAAGACTTTTCCTTTTGACTTTCGAGCCAATCATAGAAATTTTGTGATTTGATGTGCGTCTCCAGCTCGTCTTGCCGCGTCTTCCAGCGCTTCTCTTTGTGAGTAGATTCATCGCGGACGCATCGTGGGAGAATGAAGCCCCTGCGGCGGTTCCTATCGTCAGCTTAGACATGCATGAGGTCCTCTGACACCAGTGCGGAGACTGACATGATGACCAGCGTAAGAAGTAAAATGATCAAGACCGAGGGCACGATGATCGCGATGACGATCGTACCACTCTTTACACTCGCCGGTGACGTCTCTTCTTCAGTGTTGTTTGACATAATAATAAGACTGGTAGGGTATATCCACACAGAGAGAAGAGAGAAAGCGAAATCTTGAGCGCGCTTCGAGGTGTTGCGTATATGCCGCGGATTGGATTTCCTTTGTCGACCGATTCAAGCTGCGTGCATACCAAGGGTGTCGCAATCACCGACTGCGCGCATGTGGTGACCCCGGAGTAACGGAATGTATGGCTTGAGGACCACGGGATGGGTAGATAGGAAAGCAGTGTTCACGTTCGAGCGCGCAGCTCGGAAGAAGGCGGATTCGCAGAGACAGAGGAAGACCCAACCTTAAAAGTAGCTACATCATCGTCAGATGAAGCCCAAGACTGGCTCTGCAGCTCGATACACCCAATGCGGGCTTGGCCTATCTAACCTTGACGCGTCGCTCCTCTCAGCGTGCTCCATTCCTGAGCCAAGGGCAGAGCTCTTAAAGTTGGCCAACCAGGTTTCATCGGTGTGCTCTTGTGACGCGGGGTCGAGAGCTGAAAGGGCCGACAAACTTTATGGAGGGCAAGGCGCCCGCGTTATAACATGCTGCGCAACCTTATAAACCTCGATCCATGGGAGAACAAGAACTCTTGGGTGGGACGATGGCGCTAGCAGTCGGGCCATGTGAGGGTGTGAAGGATCGGTGCCTCAGGTGGAGACGGAGGGTAGGCGCTAGGACCCACACCACGCCCATCACTTGTGGGGTAGCAGATCTTGTAAACTGGAGTTCTGCTCGCGATAAGCATTTTGTTACCTATTTCTTGGTATAGGCGTCGTGGTCATTCGAGTGCGTGAGTTCCCTTTTGGAGAACCTCGGGAAGGTTTCCTGAGCACGAGCCCTATGCCGAATGTGGCCTAGGGCGTAGCACCAGATAGACGAGTTCGTTCGTAAGCAAGCACGCAAGCAACACGCAAGCCTCATCCGCTACGTATCGTTTCGCCGACGCGCCGCGCAAAGCCACACAGCTAGGCACACAAAGGCCCTGCATTCGAAAGCGAGAAACACGCCCGCTCTCTGGAAGAATATCACATGGTGCCGGACTATCCACAACACAACGCCAGCTGAACATACAGGTGAACTAGTATGTTCCAATGGCCGGATCGAGGATCCGAACGAGCGAATGACATAGCCTCCGTTTAGCCTTGCAAACTTCAGCCGCAAATGCGCATCTTCATCTGGCCTCGCGTCTCTCATTTTGTACACAAACGAGCAAGCTGAAGATATGGCGTTCCTCGGCCGGTCTGGGCTCGTCTTATATCGATCTTGGCGCATCCAGCGGAATGCAGTGGATGTAATACGCTTGGTGTTTGACGCGCAGATTAGGTATATTTGAAGGGATGAACCTTCAATGCCGGATATGTCCAGCAACTCTGGGGTCTATCCAAATTCATCGTTCTCTTTCGGCACACAAACATGCCATATCAATACCAACCACTTCCGATTGTCCAAAACTCGGAGGATGCCTATGTACGATTGCTGGAAGTTCACAGGGGCACTCGAAGTGGCCCCATCACCGGTCGACTGTACACAACATTGTTGTCGGAAGCCCCAAAGTTCTATGCTCTCTCCTACTGCTGGGGCCCTGAGCCACACGAAGCTACCATTCATATTACCAACGCGGCCCCACCTCGTGATCTGGAGAACGACAACACTCTGAAGATACCTAAAACTTTGATCCCTTTGCTATACGAGATCCGTCAATGGGGTTGGCTGAAAGCACGCACCCTGTGGGTCGACAGCGTGTGCTTGAACCAGAAAGACGATGATGAGAAGACCGCACAAGTACCAAAGATGCGACAAATATATATTAAGGCTACTGCTACTGTGAGCTGGCTGGGTTTGGGAGACGAGGGGATAGAAGCAGCTTTCAAATATGCTTCTGGGCTGCATACGACCTTCAGACGAGAGTTGGCGGAACACAAGCACATTGAACTGACGCCGGAAGAAGAGAAAGAGGAAGATGTGCGCGTCAAGGTCAAAGTAGGCGATCCAGCACTTGAGACGTTGCTGAGACTCTTGGATCGGCCTTACTTCGAGCGGTCTTGGATCATGCAGGAAGTCGTTGTTTCTAGCCAGGTGTGGTTCATGTGTGGAAGCGCCAAGATACCTTGGCAATCGCTACAAGCTGCATATTTGTATCTAATGACGAGTCAGCTGTGGTTGTGGGAGTTTTACCAAGGGGCTAGGGTGAGTAACGTCATCCTCATGAAGCTCAGTGAGATGGAATGGGCAAGTGGCGCCGATATCGATTGGCCTGGGACGCTGCTGAGGCACCGAGTATGTCTTGCCAAGAATCCCAAAGACAAGATTTACGCTTTTTACGGCATGAGCTGTAAGAAGGCATTAGGTAAGCTCGGAATCAAGCCAAACTACGACAAAAAGTTCACGACCGACATACTGTACACTCAACTGGCTGCGCGCACGCTTCAAAAGAGGCAAGCAGCAGTCCTCCATGTGCCTCGTCTCACTACCACTTCTAAAGAAGAAAACGACCCAGATTTCAAGCAAATCACACTTCCATCCTGGGTACCGGATTGGCGTTGGACAGAAGCAACACCATTCTCGCTAGTCAGGACCGAAATGCTCGCCGACGATGCCAACACAACGCGCGACTACCATGCTTCGAATGACTCTAGATTCGAACCTCGCTTCGACCTCGAGGCGTACAACTCACCCCAAGGCCAAGTCAACGATTTGAAAGACTTGCCTAAGACTTTGATTCTTTCTGGAGTTGCAGTAGCGAGGGTCACAGAACTCACGCCACGCCGTTGGATAATGCAGAAAGCTCCACTTCGCCAATCCTTGCTTGAACAAGCAAAGTTACTGCAGTTCAACATGCAGCAAATACATGAGTGGGAGGCTCTCTTCCGATCTCATCACATCAGTCAAGTCTACTCTGTGACGGGCGAGTCTGTAACGGAAGCTATGTACGAGACGTTTATGGCCGGCGAGACACAGAATACACCAGAAGCCAAGAGAAGCGCCTGCGCAGCCTTTGAGAAACGCCAGAAATTCTTGCGGCTGTTTCACAAACTGAACATCCATGGCTTCTTGGTTTGCTACAAAATGGTGGTTCTGGTCGAGCGTGTGTTCCGTCGCTTTGGCTGGGTTAATCCTGAAGCGCAGTTCAGGTCCATGGCGGGTCATATTGGTAACCGCAAGGGCGCGCGGATGGTTGCTCTTGGGGACCGCAAAACGACTTATCATGCTCTGGTGCCGAGTATATGTCGGCTTGGAGATCACGTTGTTCTAGTTGGGGGCGTTATGACGCCGCTCGTACTGCGGGAAGGTGAAGGTACGTGGGAGCTCATAGGTGACGCTTACGTTCATGGGATCATGAAGGGTGAGCTTTGGGAGAAGAGCAAGGGAGATCGTCAAGACATGTGGATTGCTTGAAAGGCGAGGTCTTTCGCGCCACTCTCGGAATTCGCGCACGGTCTGCAACATGGAGGTCTTCACATTGTCAATCACTGCCGGATCCACGCTATAGGTACCACCGGCCTGACTCGTCTACCGCGCACTCTGATCCCCACCTGCTTCCACATCTAAAAAGCTCGCATTATCAACACCTGGAACTTCAGTAGAGTCGAACACTTTTTGACATCCTACAATACAGCATGTCTCAATCGAAGATTACGACTTTCGCCAACGAGACATTGGACAAGATCTTCGCCTATCTCGCCGACAAAGATACCTGGCTTGCTCTGATCAAGGGTAAAGTAGCCGCCACGAATAGCTCTCAAGATATCTTGCTAACTTATTACTAGTATCTAGCCTCCATGCTATGCTATGCTTTGCTAACGCAGTACTAAGACATCTTATTATTTGTGCTAACAGCTTAATAGACACACCGCAGCTTCAAAGCATCAGCCCAGCAACTTCTCTACCGCGACATCCAAGTACCTGCGCAACATACTCCAATTCATAATGGACGCTGCTCGATGCTCTTGGCCGCGCTCACAGCCGCCCCGCACCTCGCCGGCTCAGTACAAACGCTACAAATCGATTGCCAGCTCGAAGGCGCGTACCCATATGGCAAACTATCCCTCGAACGAGACGCGATTCGGGAGATTCTCGTCAGACTTGCGAATCTACAGAATTTTACTATCTTTATTCTGGACGATCCGCGATCAACGTTTCAGCAAATGGACGCCTCATCCGAGATTGCTCAAATGTAAGATTACTGACCAAACGTGATTGTCGGCAAGGAGCTAACGTCAAATACAGGCTGAGAGATCACACTACCACACCTATCAGCATAGACTGTCCCGAGCATCACTTAGCCATGTCAACTTGGCTCTTCGGTCTGCCCACCGCCAAAACACTAGTCGTACGAGAGAATATTACGCACGCAGCGCTCGGGTATTGGACCGCGCCCTCCATCCAATGGTTTGACACAGTCAACTTCAAAAATCTCACCTCCATCGACTACAAATGGTGTACATATCCATCAATACACAATGGACGTGCTGCTGTGAAGAAAGCTGGCACTGCTAGTCAACTGAAAAAATTGCGCTTCACATGGTACCTCGACGGCGCGCCCACACTCGGCCTAGATGGCAGCATCGCTAATTTATGGGCGACTCAACAGACGCTACGAGAACTCACTATTTTGCCTGGCATATGCTACGAAGTACCGCAGAGACCTTGGAGCCCAACTAGATTCACCAATTTTACCGCCTTGCGGATTCTGCATGTGCCGGCTTTCGCGTTTTTCGAGGAAATGTCATGCGGTAGCCTGAAAGCAAATCCCAACCGCGCAGGCTTTGAACTCAGGAGCGATATCACGCCTCTCCTACCACCGAATATACGCGAACTAGAAATCTGGTTCAGATACCCATCTGGTATGTTCGCCACGGGTGGCTCGAAAATGCGGCAATTCCAGGAGCTGTCTGAACCGGAGAGGCTGAAGTGGTTTGGTTGGATACTGGCGTTGCTTCAGCTGCGCAGCTTGCGCCGAGTTCGCATGACCGAGAGCCTTTGCGCTCATGACGGAGGAGGTTGTAAGCAGGAGCGTTCCAGCTGGCCGAGTTGCAAGTTCATAATGCCGGAGGTAGTGAGCGAGACTTTCGGTAAGGCAGGGGTGGACCTGGAGATTACGGTGTTGGATAGGGTGGCTGTGTATCATGGGATGCATTAAGATGGTTGGTACTGGGGCTGGATATATGCGCCTTGGGTACTTATGGGGGTATGAGGGATGGCGTGGAGTGTGGCAAAGTTATGTTACTCAGTTATGTTGCTCAAGGACTCGACTGCTCACAGTGGAACGCAGCGATGGCGGTGATAGCACGAAAAGGTGTTCATCAATCAATGTTTGACTACCTAAAATTGTCCATAACAGCGACTTACAATATCAACATCAACCTCTTGACACAAAGTACCTTCCACAAAGCCCGTTGCTGATAGTCACAGTTCCGTCCGGTGTTTCGTCCCGCAGTCCGACATCCGCTCCCTGGGATCTACCATCGCAAGCACCAAAGTCTCGCATCTCGAGGAGACAGAGATTTCGGGAATCAAATACCTGATTTGCGGATCCGATACAGTTAGGTGTGGAAATACAGGCGGCGCAGCAATCATAGGCCGATCCGACAGCGAGAAATTGCGGCATGCCGGGGCTTCCGAAGTAGGCGAAGCCTTTGCCGTTGATACTGGAAATCATATTGTCGGGGCCGCAGGCGGCGTAGTAAGTAGAAGCTGGTTCGGCTACTTCAATCGTTTGGGTGGTGAGGATTGTGGTGGTAGTGGGCTCGATCTGTGTTTGCGTAATGGTTGTGCCGGTGGTAATAGTGATTGTTGTTGATGCGCGAATGGGAGTGAGCGTGACCGTGCTGACCTCAGTTGTAGTAGAAGTGACGGAAGAGGTAGGCGCTGATGTTGTGACAGTACTGGTCATCTTCGCAGTCCGAGTGATGGTCGAAGTACTGATCACCTTCGCGATGCCGACGCAGGCCACTGCTGTGGGGTAGACGGCAGGTGAGAATGTTGGTTCTCTGCCTTTGTTCATGATGATGCGCTGTCCTTGGCCGCGCTCTTCGAGTGCGGCTTCATTAGATGCTACTCCAGGAAGGCTGGCAGATCTTCGCTTCCTATTAGGAAAGGTTGATTGAATGGGCTGGAAATCTGCAGGAGCTCTTATAGTTGTTGTTGCGTCGGTGGTAAGCGTGACTGTGAGAGTGGCGGTGTCTGTTACGCTGATGATGTCCGTGGATGTTGTTAGGACTGTATCGGTAGTCGTGACAGTTTCAGAGAATGTGTCGGTCTCTTGAGTCTGGGTCCTAGTCATTACGCTCGTCGCTGTGGCAGTGACCGTGGCCGTGACTGGTGGAGGAGTGATGACATATGTCGGTGTCGCTGTTGTAAACTTGAAGCCATAGAAGGGGACTGTCAAGATGCGAGAAGAAGTCTTGACGGTAGCAACAGGCTTGAGACCTTGCTTGGTGATGCAAGTAACGTAGGACTTTGTCGTAGTAGTTGCGCTAGCTTCAAACGCTAGCAAAAGAGCACCAGCGACGAGATTAGGTGAGAGATGCATATTTCCACCGTGTAGATATGAGCTTTCCGAAGTACCTGATGGTCCTCTCGTCGCATTTACAGCTCTTATATATGCCTTTGTTCTTCGAGCTCATCGTCCTAGACTCCTCCCCAACTTGGCCAGGCCCCCGGACACAGCGATGCCATACTTTGTCTTTTCATACATAAGAAAATTCGTCCCGAATAGGCTTGAAGAATGAATGCTGCCGCCACCACAGGGCTAGATCTCAAGCGTGGCTTGTCGGCGGTATTTAGACTTGTTTGCCAATCCTCGATGCTGGAGAGCGTCCGGTCACCATTGATTGGCGACACAAGGCTTTGGTGCTGGCGTTTAAGGCCTCGAACTTCGAGAGAGTTCAGTATAGCGCAAATGTAGTGTCTTCCAGACTTGACTGAGTGTAAGTCTGGACCTGAAACGCGGGATCTAGAAGGTAAACTGCAAGCCGTCACAAAATGGTATGCATGCAGGAACGAAAGGCACAGGTACCTAGGTAGACCGTATGGGGTCCGAGGCGCTAGTGTTCATCACGTGATGCGCGGCAGCGCTAAGACGGGGAGCGTTAGCACCGAACGTCCTTTGAGAGGCGGTCGCCGCCGTCGCATACCGAACAGACAGGACACTACACGTCCGCACTCACCCACCCCCTTCACCTCCCCGCGCCTAATCAACCCAGTCGCGATCATGGCCGAGCCGTACGACTACGACGGTATGGAGGACGAGTACGAGGATGAGGAGAACCGCGTCTTGCCCGAGGACTGCTGGGCGGTCATCAGCTCCTTCTTCGACACCAAGGGTCTGGTCTCGCAGCAGCTCGACTCGTACGATGAATTCACGCGCAACACAATCCAGGATATCGTAAAAGAAAACGGCAGCGTCATTCTCGAGCAAAATACGCCCTACAACCCCGATGAGGAGGAGAACCCCATCATCAAGCGCCGCTATGAAATTAAATTCGGGCGCGTCTACCTGGCGCGGCCAACACACACAGAAGGCGACGGCACCACGGTGCAACTTTACCCTCACGAAGCGCGTTTACGGAATCTCACCTACTCCGGTGCCATGTTGGCCGATATCGAGAACCGAATAATGGTCGCCCGCGAGGGACGCGAACCGGAGGAAGGTGATGACGAGGAGATGGAGGGTGGCTACACAGGCGGCCCATCGCAGATCCGGTGGGAGCGTGAAGACATGCCAATGGATGATGGCGCTGCGGCGCGAGTCTTCATCGGAAAGCTTCCTGTCATGTTGCGGTCAGAGCTCTGCCATTTGCGAGCGCAGTCTGACGCGGACCTGTTCGCTCTGAATGAGTGCCCATACGATCAGGGTGGATACTTCGTCATCAACGGAAGTGAGAAGGTACTCATTGCCCAGGAGCGCAGTGCCGCGAACATCGTACAGGTCTTCCGAAAGAAGCAGGGTCCCATTCCATGGATCGCCGAGATTCGAAGTGCAGTCGAAAAGGGCACCCGGTTGATCTCATCATTCAACATCAAGTGGGCGGAGAACTCACTCGCAGGTCCCGGAAAACGTATCCCCGGTCCCTTCGCATACGCTACCCTCCCATACATCAAGGCGGATGTGCCCATGGCCATCGTCTTCCGCGCGCTCGGTATTGTCTCCGACGAGGAGATTCTTAGTCACATCGTTTACGACCGCACCGACACACAAATGCTGGAGCTGTTGAAGCCCAGTATCGAGGAGGGATCCGTTGTTCAGGACCGAGAGACTGCTCTGGACTTCATTGCCAAGCGTGGCGCCAATTCAGGCACGAAGGACAGGCGTCTCAAGTTCGCGAGGGACATTATGCAGCGAGAATTCTTGCCGCATATTTCCCAAAAGGAGGGTCAGGACACGCGCAAGGCCT